ATCGTCGTCGTCACCGGCAGTTGTGGCAACGGAATCGGCTATCCCTGGCGTAAAATCACCAAGAACGCCAGCCCAATGGTCCGAAGCCAACGCTTTCTTCCAGCTACAACGCAAACTGCTTCCAAGTCTCAACAACATCGACGAATTCACACTCTCATTTCAAAAAACAATATACAATTACTTTTCTCCAAATTATGGCATCATAAAACCTCACACAATACAAAACAACATCACAAACAAAAGCATCAAAGACCTGAAAAAGAAACTCAAATACTTGAAAGAACTTAGCCACAACAACAACAACTTTGACAATCAAATCACCAACACAAGCAGAGATATTCGCTCAAAACTGCAGTCGTTGAAGTTATCTAAATGTGCTGTGAAAAAATCAGACATCACAGCTCAACTTAAACGTCGATTCTGGTGGTGCTGCAAAAAAATATTCGACACAACAAAAAATCTGAGACCTCTGTTTGCCGTTGATGAATGCTACAAATACTTTACAAACATTTTAAACGACACAAATCATCATAGTAAATATCAACTTCCTAAATGGATTCCAAAACTGCAATCCCCAACTACGCCCTTCAACAACAGTCCTCCTTCATACCACGAGATTTCATCAATAATCTACAAATATAAAACTAAATCGTCACCATGCCCGCTTGATCAAATCTCAGTTATTCCCTTCAAAAAATGCCCAATCCTACGCACTATTCTACATGAACTACTAACACAATGCTGGAAATCTTCTACCATCCCTTCATGCTGGAAAAAAGGGTTTACAATATTAATTTATAAAAAAGGAGATGCTCGCGACCCTGCCAACTTTAGACCGATAACACTACAACCGACGCTATACAAAATATTCTCTTCACTCATCAACAATAGACTATACAACTTTCTTGAATCAAACAACATGATCAACAAAAATATACAAAAAGGGTTCTACCCCAAAGTTGATGGCCTGACTGAACACACCCAGCTCTTATCTCACATGATTAACGATGCGAAAAGGCACCAGAGAACAGTTATCGTCACACTCTTGGATTTACGTAATGCCTTTGGTGAAGTCAGTTACGGCCTAATCTCATCAATCATGCACTACCATCACATCCCACTTCAAATCATAAACTTAATTGAATTTATATACTCCAACTACACAATTACAGTCTCCGGTTGCGATCAGTTGTCTCCTTCCATCCCGGTCAAACGAGGTGTGTTACAAGGCGATCCAGTCTCTCCATTGCTCTTCAACCTCTGCTTCAACCCCTTAATGAAAAAACTCGAAGAAACCGAATTTCAGCAGTGCGGTTACATATGGAGTCCCACAACAAGCCTTAGAACAAGAGCATGGTTACAATTTGCAGACGACACAGCAATCATCGCCAACAACACCGAAAGTGCACAAAAGCTTATTGACATAAACCGGGCATGGTGTATCGCAACCGGCATGAAATTAAGAATTGATAAATGTTCAACATTCGGTATGAGGAAAAAAAAACGGTACTTATGAACAATTTCTCCCGATGCTGATTATCGACGAAAAACCAATTCCTCATGTCGACATAGGCGGACACTTTGTCTATCTGGGCAAAACCTATGATTTTGAAGGCAACAACAGTAGGGCTAAAGAACAGCTGAATGGTAAGCTAAAAAATTTGCTATTAGTGATTAACAAACTGGACACGACGGCAAATTGGAAACTACAAATTCTACGTAGATATATACCGTCGCAATTGGCATTTGAGTTACGGACATACGACATTTCCTTGACCTGGATAGGCAACTGCCTCGACCCTCTCATTGTTGAATCGGTGAGATCATGGCTGTCACTACCTATCAGCAGCTGTGTGTCTGAATGCATGTCGCTCCCCTTCAAATTGGGAGGCTTGAACATTAGGTCTCTCAAGCACTATGCCGAATCTATGCGAATTAAACTACGCAATTATCTAAAATCAAACGGCAAAGACGAACTTAAGTGCTTGTATTCAACAACTATATTGCGGTGGATAATCAGCTACCCGATTCGAACGACATCAAATCAACGCTCAAGGCATTAGTACTTCGACAACAAAGTACAGAATTTACACGGCTGACCTCACTCCGATGTCAAGGTACGATAGTCAAGGCAATCAGTGATCATATTCCGGCAACTAGAATTGATCACTGGTCACGATACATTGCAAACCTTCCAGAGGTTCTATTCAGATTCGTCCGGAAAGGTTTAATTTAGCAACTGCCAACAAATGCCAACCTGTCCAGATGGGGAAAGCCTTCCACTGCCCAGTGCTTGTTATGCAATAATCTACAAACGAATAAACATGTACTATCCAACTGCAGTTCTCCGTCGGCACTGGATAGATACACAACAAGACACAACAAAATATTGACAATAATCCTCGACAAATTAAAATCATGCGCCAACCCAGATGTCTCTATTTTTGCTGATCTAGAGACGGGAGATGTTCAACCACTATCACGCTTATTCAAGTCATTGCGACCAGATATCGCATTGCTACGCGGTGAAACGTTGGAAATTCTGGAATTAACAGTCTGCCACGAAACCAACTTCCTCAGCTCAAAAGAATATAAACTATCTAAATACTCTAATAATTTGAAAAATA